ATACAATACCCGCTATTGAACCTGAGAACGGTGTGTCTAAAATAGTCATGTGAACACATTGCCCTCTCATGACTTGGGATCGTTCAGCATATACTGAAATTCCTTCTTATTAATTAATGCTTGCAAGGTGCAATTAAAAATGGACTAGATTAAGAAGAGATTGGTTATGTTATTGTTCACATGCAGGAACGAAACCAAACAATGAGTTGAAACACGCGGTCCCCTTAGTCAACGTAACAAGAAACTCGGAAAGCTATTTAATACAACTAATTTCCTATTTATTGAATCACATTTACAACTCGAGTGCTGATTCCAATTGTGTAAGGAAATGTAGGAAGTACAAGAAATAGCTGGAAACTTTTTTGTTTGAGCTATTCTGTTAATATTACTGGGTAAGTTGTTACATAATCATTTATATAGTTAGCAGCAATACATTTTAAGAGTACGTATTTGATACACGATATATTTAAGGCCGTTTGTTTAAATACAACAGACATCATAATCGACCTTCAAAATAAAAATTAACGTGTGAAACCGCTTGCATATAAATAAAGCTATTGATACATTTTAAACAAATAATTGATGCGTCGATTTTTTGATATCTATCTCATCCGTAAAAACTTAAAGATGTATTTAGTGTCCACTATAAGTATAATATTTTATACATACCTAACATTTCCAAAAATTATTGTTTAACGTTTACTATAAATATAATATTTTTTTTTATGTAATTGGTCGGCAAACGGGCAGACGGATTACCTGATGGTAAGCAATCAGCGCCGCCCATGGACACCCGCAACGGAGTAGTTACGAGTGCGTTGCCGACCTTTTAGTGATTAGGGATTTGGAGATTTAGGGATTGAGGAGGGATTAGGGGCGGGGAAGGATTAGGCCTCCGGTAACCTCACTCACACGTCGAAACACAACGCTGTGGTTGTTTCACGTCGGTCTTCTGTGAGGCCGTGGTATCACTCCGGTCGAGCCGACCTATTCGTGCCGAAGCATGGCTCTCCCACACTTGTACAATACTTAGAAATGAGATTTTAGATGCTTCGCTGCACTCGAACTTATTGCGTGATAACACAGTGAAGAAGTTTTACTTAATATACATTTTGGTATTAACTTATTGTTGTTTCAATGGTCTAGTGCTTATGTTGGAATAAGAATAAGAGTTCTACTTTTTTATAAATAATAAAATGCATGTTGCTACTGGTCTAGAGATATAAAATCCAGTTTGTGTAATAAAATTCCTGTAAGGCTCAAGTATTCTTCCGTCTAAAGTTGGGTTAATATACATTCCGAAAGAAAATCGTATGAGTACTTAATGCGTGTCAACGCGAGTTTCCAACTCCGAAGTCGCGTTTAACGTGACAACTGCGTTATACCATATAATTATCAAAATGAGCCCGTCAGGCCATCGCGACGTTGTCTTCGTGACAAAAACAATCAGTGAAAGTGTAGATTCAGTCTCGGCCGTCAGTCACAGTGCGCAAGACCTCTTTTTACTTGAAACAATTTTTTTATGTACTCACTGTGCTCATTTATGATGTGTTGTGTTGACTAATTGCAGACATTACGCAGTACGCGGTTATAGATAGATTAGCGTCAACGACAGATTCAATCTCATCATGATAAATTCAATTACTTAGCTTTTTTCCCGCAAATCTTGTTTTTCGATTCGGTGTCTTCACTTGACACAGATCAACAGCTTATGAGCAAAGGCATCTTCTCACAGTGCACACAAGGAGCAGATCTGTATATTAACCTCAATGCTTGCTCAAAGATATGCGGCAAATGGCGATTTAAAACCTATAAAATAAAAATATATAAGTCCAAGTTTCTTAACGATGTTTTTCTCTATCGTAGGTGAGTGGTGTCTAAATAAGCTTGGAGAGTACATAAATGCATATGTAAAAAAAATCATTAGTACATACTTATTACCATTCGGTTCCTTACTTAGGTTAATTTGCTAATGTCATTCGTATTGATGGCCAAATGGGTGATTTATGCTTTATACGACACGTTGTAACTGGTATTCTAATCTGCAATATTACTCGCTCAAACGTTTTGTTTATTTGGTAAATAGGTAAATTAGTGCTAATTGTGTTCGTTGTTTACTGAATTTCTGAGCTAACTAAGTTCGCAGAACGCGTTATAACGTCATCAGTTGATCTTTGTTTTGCGGTTATTCTTTTTCATTTATTAATAATTTAAATATGCCAAATAAGTTAGTTTAATTATTCTTAGTGTGAAAAATATATTATTAGATTATTAACAATACAATGAACATACTTAGCTATACCCCAGATTAGCTTACACTAGATAGTTTCCAATGCTAATAAGAACTAGAATATACCAACCATTATTCTTATAAGTTTGCTTTATGTATTTGCACTTCTTGACATTACCTGATACTAGGTTGAGTTGTCTACAATAACACCAAGTCATGCAGTTTTAAGTACCACATGATGTCATACTACAGTCATAGCCTACATGCATTAATTTAAATATGGGAAACTTAAAATATTCCTTTATTAAACGTCAATGAGTCTTATGAAACTGATAAATGTATTATTTACAGTCATGACTGTTCCGTACGTCTAAAACTTGAATGCACTAGGCAGGCATTCCTACTAAACTATAAATACCTACGTCCTTTTATTTACACAATACTTACCCAAAAACTCAACCACACCTTAAATACATCTAATATTATAAAATATAACAATGAAGCAATCAATAAACTACATAATAGTATTCAAATAGTCATAAAAAATTACGACAAATCAATATAGAATGGGAGTACATCTGTAATATCATGTCGAAGATACCGCCAAGTCACTGTTCTGTACAAATTGGCTCAATCGTAAATATTGTTGGTTCTATTCAAATATTGTCGACTCATTTCGGTGGTAATTACGAAACCAGCGATAATGCAAGGGTGACACCAATTTAACACCGCAACTTGTGTACATAAAGTTAATAAGTACGAGTATGTTACATCGCAATGTTACCGATATGGCAGCATTATGTGACTGAGTTCCTCAAATCCAATAAAACTATGCTTGAAAGTTGTCATGTGATTGTATAGGTATAGGTACGTGTAAGAACCTTTGCCGGAAACTAATAAATGTTTTGTATTGTATTTCTCAACTTTTGTCTTTTAAATAAATTGTCACGAAATCGTTCGACATACATTTAAATTTTTAATAAAATACAGGTACTTATTTTATGACATTGTTCATATTTATTTAATTTAATGAAGTTCTTTTTTACCAAGTATACATATTATATCCTGTTTGTGTTAAAACGTAGTATAGATATAGGTTACCTGGCAAGTTTGTTAACTCTCTCTAGCATAAAAAATATATATAGAAATCAAAACGAACACATCGAAACGTGATCAACATTACTCATACTCATGTTCATTTAACCAGGCTACATCAGCATTGTGTATTAATCAAAGTAAAAACTTCCCTGTACAGCTATTTTGTTTTGGGTAAGTCCGTCTAATTAGTAAGTTCGTGATGTAGTAACAAATATCCAAACTTTCACATAAACAGGGATTATAACCATGCTATTATATTATACATTTATTGACCAACAACTGCATTTTGTTATACTAAATGCAGTTCTTTGCATCCTCCATTCAAGCACGCATGATGGCCACGCGATGGTGCATGTAGCAGCCAATTCAATTCATTAGTGCTTTCCTTTCCTATTTCAGAAACCCCTTAGTATTCGAAATAAACTGTCCACAATTTTATTGCCTACTCTGCAAACCAAGCAGAAAATGGTGAATAAAAAAACACGTTTAACGCATAATTTGGTCCGTCGCCGACTCATTAAAATTATCATGATTTAGAATATATTATAATATATTATCTAAGTCTGTATCATCGTTATAGTATCGAGGAATATTACTTATACATTTCACTTTCTACCAGTTTCAAATTCAAATCGATCTATAATAAAAGTAGGTAGAAAGCTGGTGTGTATACTTAATTTACATATAAATATTGCACAATAATTATAAGAGTGAAGAGGTTATAAAATGTTTTTATAACAAATCAATAAGTTCCGCGGATGCGTTCGGTTCGGCCGCGGTACAGTTATTTCTTGCCGGATGTTTCAACTGTTTCACGTGCTAATTACTAGATTTTTTATTATTAGTAACGATGCATTTTGTAGCTACTGTATGACGATCCAACGATACGAAGTATGCGATTGTGACCAAAATTCTTTATCAACAATGAGTCATTGGTTACGCATATACCAGACTTATCAACCTATAAGTCAGTTATCGAACTCAAATATTTGTCTCGCGTAAAATTCTATGTGAATTAGGTAATTCAAATTCTTACAAATAAAGTCAATTAAACTTAAGTACATATATACATTCTTGTTTTACTTAAAATAACTTGGAGTCTTATTGCGCTGTTTTAATCGATAATTCTAAAGCAACTGGCATCCATGCATAACCAAACAGAATTAAAATTGAAGTGGTGTCGACACGTTATATTACTATCGTTTAGATCTGTTAAGAAAATTAGCTGTAGCGTGTAAATACCTATGTAGATAAAATTAAATTTATGTACTTAGACAGGATATTGAGACAACTTTTCGAATTCCCAAGCTCGGTTGAGTTCGCTTCATTACTCGAAGTTAAGAACGTAACACAGTTTCGATAACCCTTCTGATATCCTGATTAAAATTGTTTTTATTAAGCTTAATAATGTGTATATCCGTATTCTCTTATAACATCTTTTAAATCATAATAAACTTTGGTATCAGTATAAGGGCATATTTTTATTTCTTTTTTTTTCATAAACGTTATCAGAGGAATACAATTTTTGCTGTCAGTGTCTTATACAAACATTCTGACGCGACAGCATCATAATTATACCCCTGGTAACTTTTATGTAGGTACCCATTGAAAAATAGCCCTTAGTCAAATTTAACCCATAGGTATTATTAACCTGGCCCTTCTTAATTCTCAGATGGTGTCTCAATGTGAGTGCTGAGCCATGCGCAGCGACGTGGCATACCGCGGGCTCTCGCAGCACGTGGAATTAGACCGAGCAGCCGACCCTAGGGACCGGTTCACATTACAGGAACTCATCGGAGAGGGCACTTATGGAGAAGTATATTGTGCTCGGGATAAGAAGACTGGTAGAAGAGTTGCAGTAAAGGTCAGTAAAGCTATTATCAACAGCCTATTTCCTTTTTTATAGACACTAGACCTCATAAGCACCCCATCTTTAGTAGGTATTCTCGAACATCTTCTCTTTTTTATGTGATAGGACGGAAAACGTCCAATTAGCTGATGGTAAGCAATCTGCGCTGTCCAAAGACACCCGCAACACCAGAGGAGTTACGAGTGCAGTTTTGGCTTTTTGGGAATTAGGGTTTCGGAGATTTACGGATTGGGTGAGGGGATTGTGGATTGGGCTTCTATATGACTAGAGAGCATTTTACGCTATATTTGCTTAGGCAGATAATATCATATTCAACCCATAAAAAACTGCATAGCTAAAAATGTTTTATCACACAGTTTGTCATCACTACCAGAACCAATATTTACAAGCTTCTTAATAATGGCAAAGTCAATGAAACTGGTTGAGGAATAATAAAATTAAGAAAACGACAAATATTATTGTAATAACCTTATTAAATATCTAAATACATTTTTATACAAAATTTTCCGCCATGTAATTTAAAATGTCTCACCGGCAATAAATACGCGACTAAGCTGCTAATAGGAAACCTAGACTGTATCGGTATTAGTCATAATAAAAGTTGTTAACCTTATCTCAGGTTTACACTTGACGGCTGACGTCATTTAGAAGCTACATAAATCGGCGAGAAAACCGCGTACCTGCGATTATTTCCACATGTTATTTTAGTGTGCACGACTAAGGTCAACAACATTTATAGGGCATGCACTCGTAAACTGTTTGTACCCACGGGTGAAATCCGAGAGAAACTGGCTCGCAGTCGCTCTAGCCCTACAAGTTTGAGTTTATTAACAATTCAATTTAATGGGTTCCCTGTTAAGGCACAGTCGCGATATAATTTGAATAAAGATTATTGTATTTTACTGATAAGTTACTAGTCAAATTAAATAAACTAAGTAATTGCTACAATGAAGAAATACTGAGAAAAAAAAAACATATTTGAATATACTTGTAGATACTTACAATACATGAGAATGCTGTGTATACAGAATAGGTCAATGAATTTTTATGGAAGTATTGTTAGCATACGCATGTAATTGATTGCATAGATGTTATCTTAAATGTAGTATTGATGTCAAGGCCGCAGAACAATACATGACAGGGCATGGTCTGCAAGCACTCGCTTGGAATACAATAACATAACTGAATACCAATTTATGTGGCCGGTATGAATAAATTATTTTTGATTACTTACTGCTCTAATAGTTTTCTTTTTATTATTTTACAGATTTTGGAAAACATCACAGAAAACATCGAGGAAATAGAAGAAGAGTTTCTCGTGTTTCGTGACTTATCAGGTCATCGCAATATCCCGGAGTTTTTCGGGTTGTTTTTGAAACGCGGCGTGTGTCCAGATGACGACCAAATATGGTTTGTCATGGAGGTCGGAACACATTTTATATATAGACTGCATATTGTTAGCTTTACATGGAGCATAAATCAATGTGACCTTTATATTTGCAGCTCTGTACCGGCGGTTCGGTGACTGATTTATGCGCGGGAATGCGGGCTCGCGGTAGCAATCTCACCGAACCACAACTCGCGTATGTGTTGCGAGGAACCGTTCGGGCCTTGACACATCTACATGCTCACCGATGTATGCACAGAGACGTTAAAGGGCATAACATTCTTCTTACTGAAGATGGAGAGGTTAAGCTTGTAGATTTCGGAGTGTCATCGCACTTGGCTGCCACAGCCGCCAGGCGAAATACGTCAGTTGGCACGCCCTACTGGATGGCTCCAGAGGTAAAATCTTTAATTATTTCATATGCGGCGGTTACGGCGGCATACCCCACATTATGAGAACGATATTGGTGACCCCGAAAACAATACCACTGACGTTTTGAAAGTAGTGTAATGATCTCACATTATAGCAACGGTTTAAGGTCACACTCTGAATTTTGTTTTGTTGCAGGTCATAGCGTGTGAACAACAGCTGGACGAATCTTATGATTGCCGCTGTGATGTATGGTCAGTGGGCATAACGGCCATAGAATTAGCTGAAGGTGAACCACCACTGTCAGGCTTGCACCCGATGAGAGCACTGTTCCAAATACCTCGGAATCCTCCGCCATCTTTGGCGCATCCGGAAATGTTTTCACCACAGCTCGTAGACTTCATAGCAGATTGTTTGATAAAAGATATGAACCAGAGGCCGTTTGCGAGAGAGCTTTTGGAACATCCTCTACTACTCGCAGTCAGTAGCTTTGAGGATAAGGTACCTATACAAAAAATAATTAATACCAGTTTTAAAATATCGTCACTTAGTTCGATATGACTCATTGGTTTTTAATTTATAGATCCGTAAAGAGCTTCAAGCGGAGATAAAACGACAAAGAGCTGAAGGTCGAGGTTCTCGCGCGCCGGAGGCTACGACTAAGAGAGGAAAACTCAAATCACATCGAAAAGCGCGACCAGAGAAAATGTACACAGATGACCTCGCGACATTAGAAGTGTTGACTGAAGACGCTATCGTAGAACAACTACATAAAAGATATACACAAAACCAGATATACACTTACATAGGTGATATACTGGTCGCTGTAAACCCATTCACCGACGTGGGAATTTACACCACAAAGGTAATTTTAATGACGCCAAAAAGTAACCACAGCATTAAAAATGTTATCTTTGGACAGAGCGAAGGTGTTTAAACTAATTCGTCCTCACACATTTGGACTTAATTATTAATGTGTGGGTTACTAAGCGGTGCTTTGCTTTGCTGTTTGCGTTTAGATATAATGTAGAACGGGATTTTCGAGGACGCCATACTTAAAAAATTAAGTGTTTAAAGATCTTTATAAATCTTTCACAATATAGTATATCAATTATAAATCAAATCCCAGCTTAATTGCTTCCTACCAGCTATTATGTGAATTATTCTAATTGTTCTAGACTCAACAGATATACCAAGGTCGGTGTCGGTCCGACAATCCGCCGCATATCTATGCGGTAGCGGATGCTGCTCATCAGGCTCTGATGCATCAGAAGCTGCACCAAGCCATCGTGATATCTGGAGAAAGTGGTGCTGGGAAGACTGAGTCAGCCAATCTTTTACTCAAACAGCTGGTGTTTTTGTCGAAGGTAGGTTAGCGATTCGCGACTTGGCATGTTTGGTTAAAGTAACACTTTATTCAAACTGCCGAAAAAAAATAGAAAAAAATAAATAAAATTAAAACAATTATTACAATCAAATAAAAAAAATTGTTTCCCCATTCCAGACGCAAAATCGCAACCTGGAAGAAAAAATCCTTCAAGTAAATCCAATAATGGAGGCCTTCGGCAACGCTCGCACTGGCATCAACGCCAACAGTTCTCGTTTCGGCAAATATTTAGATTTGTCTATGATGAGAGTTGGGCGTATATCTGGAGCTAGAATATCAGTGTATCTTCTAGAACAATCCAGAGTGGTACATCAAGCATTGTAAGTTTATTTTCATCGTACTTTTTTTGTTCAAGTGCAGAACTTTCTACACTGACCCGCAAAAGTTCCGAGTATATTGTAAGAGCCAATTGACCTAGATCGAATTCGAGTGTCGATGAGTAATAAGCATTTAATAAAATCTTGTCAATTGATATGAATTTGATTGAAGAAGTGTCTTATTAAATTAATACAGGTCTTTTTGAAACAGTGTCAAAATTAATAGCACTTGAAATAATATTGTGTGATACAAATGGCCTGATTTCAATTGACAAACTCCTTGTTGTTATATTTATGATGTGTAAATTTTAATTTAATATTTTCAGAGGCGAAAGCAATTTTCACGTATTCTACTACTTGTACGATGGCCTGGAGAGTGAGGGTCGATGGAGGAAGTTCTATCTGGATGAGCAGCTTAAATCTAGACATCGGTATCTGCAGCCCCTATCTATCGCACACAGGGAACACAACGTCCATCGATGGAGACAACTCAATCAGGCCTTCAAGGTGACGTAAAAAGTATTACAAGTACTTCTACCAAACTTGCAACGTCATCGTAATCACAATGCAATACTAACAAAGGCGATTATTCCAAAATTTCAATTGCAGTTTGACGAACCGTTACATAAAGATGATCAAATCCATACTGCAATCCGGATTCTGAGTTAATTGCGTTGAGTAACTTGACCGATAAATCTCAAAAAGACACGAAAAGATGAAGTCATAACTTTATAACAGTAGAAAATTTTAACGATTTTCAGGTGGTCGGTTTTCAAGACGAAGAGGTGATAGTTATCTACAAAATGTTAGCGGCAATACTTCACCTAGGAGATATAGAATTTGGTGAAACAGCTGGCGAAGACAATACAGATAATAAGGCAACCATCATTGACACCGCACCGCTGCACAGAGGTAAACTAATGACCAGATTACGACTTTATAATGAGGACTGTTTAACTGATGTCTGTACAGATAAAGAATTTTGCTTAAATGATTATTTTATTGTGTGTCTAGACGCCATTAAAGCCATTGAATGTTTTAAATAGAAACTCTTCTCTTCACATGTTTGTTTAATGTGGCCATGTGAAAATGTTAGCAACTTACTATTATAGTAATAAAACAAACATCACTCCACGCCAATATTAACAAACATTTACCAGATGTATACGAGCATCTTCTTGGTTTTAAGTTTGTTTAACCCATTTGTAAATCCACAATCTCATATTATCATTAACATTCCCTCAGCCTCCTGTCTCCTGGGTGTAGAAACAGTGGATCTTCGAGAATGCCTTACTAGTAGCAGCGTGGTGGCGCGAGGAGAAACTATCGCACGACACAGCTCTCCCACTGAAGCCGCCGTTGCAAGGGACGCTACTGCTAGAGGGTTATATGCAAGGGCCTTTGACAGAATCGTTGAAAGGATCAATGCATTGCTATGCCAAAATAGACCTAATGTGTGAGTATTTACCAAAATAATATCTCCTGCGTATCTTGTGCCATGATATTTACATACACATTACACATAATAAAATTCGCCGAAAATACTGGTACATGGTCTTATAATCACTTACTTATCATTATCTTCAACAGCGGAGCATGACATTGCTGAATTATCCGCCTTCTATTTATGAGTTATTGTGGCAAAGAAACAGACGAATCACCTGATAGTAAGCAATCAGCGCCGCCCATGAACACTTTTGGTACCAGAGGAGTTCCTATTTTGAGTCTTCTGGAAAGCTGTGATTATTTAACGCCGGTTTTTTTGCGAAGCCTATAAATTTGGCAAAATCTCCACACTTGGCGGGCGGAATAGAGAGCGTAGTTATTCACATAATGGGTGATATTTCAAATCTATACATACATGATATATTCAATTAGATACCAGAAATTAAAAATTAGCTAATAACTTATTACACCAATGGATAAAATAATAATCATTTTTAATTGTTCATTTACAGAAACGAACAGCTCTCCATAGGCATTCTGGACATTTTCGGATTTGAGAACTTCAACAACAACTCCTTTGAGCAGCTTTGCATTAATATTGCAAACGAACAAATCCAATATTACTTCAATCAGCATATTTTTACTTGGGAACAACAGGAGTATATGGCTGAAGGTGTTCCAGTGGATCTAGTGGAGTTTTCTGACAACAGGCCAGTGTTGGACATGCTGTTGTCAAGACCTATGGGAATGCTGGCTTTACTTGATGAAGAGAGTCGATTCCCGAGGGCCACTGATAGAAGTTTGATTGGTTAGTGTAAATTAAGTTATAAGACCATAATTATCGCCAAAGACTGTTGATAGCTTTGAATTTATTATCTGATATAATATTCTTTCTATGTGTGTGATATTCTTTTCTCATAGTAAAAACGACTCAAAAGTAGAATTCACTTTAATATTATATTGATGTAAACTTTAAGATCTGCTATCTTGAATTCCAATTATAATTTAGTTTTTTCTTATTTACAGAAAAGTTCCATAACAACATTAAGAGCAAATACTACGTCCGTCCAAAATCTGACGCCATTTGCTTCGCTGTCCATCACTTCGCTGGTCGCGTGGTGTACCAAGCGGAGGGTTTCTTAGAAAAGAATCGCAACTTCCTTCCACCTGAAGTCGTCCAGCTCATGAGACAGAGCCAATACGACATCATCAGATTCTTGTTCCAGTGCCCGATCACAAAGACTGGCAATCTATATTCACCACTGCAAGGAGATTTAGACTCCAGAAGCTTAGAGAGTCCCACGTCTAGTGATATTAGGGTAAGGTCGTTTACACAATTTTTGGTTACTTTATGTGAGATAGGTAAATATAAGATACTAGCAGTCGCCCACAACTCCTCCCGCGTGTATGCAGATTTTATATCTTTTTAAGTTTTTTTTAAAATTTTCTCTTAGTACAAACTTTCTCAGGATTTCCCCAAATAATTCAAGAATTATAAAAGAAGAGATAAAGATGCATTTATCGATTTGACTAACTTTGGTCTGGAGGCTGAGTTATAATATTACAACGAAAAATGGCATAGATTTATTATATTATATATATAGATTTTACCTCATAATTTAAATGAACTTTGACCTAAAGTCCTTTCTAACCAGCAGTGTATGTAGGTTTCGTAAATATTAGTATGATAATCAAGAAAAAAACTTGTTAATAGGAGCGCTTCAACAGTCGAGGCCTCGCCTCTCAATCCCGGGCACAGCAAACAGTCTCCACGTACTTCAGGTACTCCCTAATGGAGCTACTTCAGAAGATGGTGAGCGGAACCCCTCAGTTCGTGAGATGTCTCAAACCGAACGACTCTCGCTCTCCAAAGCACTTCGATTCCGCGAAAATATTGAAACAACTCCGATACACTGGAGTTTTGGAGACAATTAGGATAAGGCAAACTGGATTCTCTCACAGGCTTACCTTTGAAGAGTTCTTGAAAAGGCAAGTGTTTTTCTTCAATATTTTATAATTTATTTTAATGATTTGTTTATCTCATTTATTTACGTTTAATTTTTATATTTTGTCTTTAGGTATGGCTTCCTAGCGTTCAGTTATGATGAGGAAGTAAAGCCCAACCGTGATACGAGTAGACTATTGCTGCTACGGTTGAAGATGGATGGGTGGGCACTCGGAAAGTCAAAGGTGTTCCTGAAGTATTATCACGTTGAAGTCCTCTCCAGGATTTATGAGGAGCAGGTAAAAAGAGATGTCATTCAGTTTGTTACGGTTCTACAGAAATATAGTGCATTTTTTTCTTCTAACATTCCAATATGTTGTTCTAAAATTCTTTATAATTTTTAGATAAGAAAAATAGTACTAGTCCAAGCATGTGTCCGCGGTTGGTTGGCTCGGCGTCACTTCCAAAGACTAAAGGCACAAATGGCAATATCAGTACTGACGCTGCAAAAGCACGTGCGAGGTTGGCTCACACGCAAGAGACTGCAGGAGAGACAGAGACAACTGGCGAGAGAGTTCCAGATGGAGCAAGAGAGCCAGAGGAAACAACATAAGTCTGGTGAGTTGAAACCATAAGTAATTATATCTAAGGACCATACAAGCACTATATTAGGACAAGTCTCTCTTTCAAATGGTATGTTTCTTTGGATAGAAAATTTGTTCAATTTCTAGTTTTAGAAGACATACCTTACATAGTAATTAAATTAGGTTGCTTATTGTGTATTACTTTCGCACAAACTACTAAATAGATCTAGACGATATTTGTCTGGAACTTTTGTTAGGTCTGGAATAACGGATAAGGTACTTTTACTCGATAACGCTTAACACAAAGTCACTGCAATAGATCATTTCTATATTAATAGACTCTAATATATTATTATTTTGTCAACCAGGTGTCCCTAGTAAGAATAAAGCAATGATGAAGGCGAAAGTATTGAGACGTATGACGTCAGACGACAGTGACACAAACGAAGCAATGTCCGGCAACAAAGAAAACATCGATACTAATAAAGCTGCTGTTGTTATACAAAGTCGTGAGTATTTATAAATTAATAAAAGAAAACAGTACTTGCTTCCAATACTATTAATGGAAACAGAATTAAGTCAAGTGTGGAAATGCTACTGCCCCACAGAAAACCGCCGTCAACAACCACAGCGTTGTGTTTTGCCATGTCAGTGAGGTGACCCTTCCCAATCCTTAAAAAAAGTAGACTGGTAGAGAATGCTTACTCGTATTGCATTAAGTTCGCTTATGTACAGTTTTTTGTGCATGAAGTTTCTAATAAATGAATATCCGAAACCATAATCCCCTATAGACCAGCAACGCGCTTGTAACTCCTTTGGTGTACGGGTGGCCATGGGTGCGCCATTTGCTTACGATTTGGTAATACGTATGCTCGTTTGCCCACCTATCTGTTAATAAAAATTGCCAAGTTTACTAAGCACAAGAACATTACGAAAATTCTCAGAGCAACTGGCATTAAATTTGAGATGCCGTTCTTGTTTTGTCATAGTTCTTATTAAATAGTTTTATAATGTCAATGACATTAAAGTTATGAACTTTTTATAGACTAGCTACTCTCGCGCGGTTTCACGCTGCTAAGCTCCACTTGATCGTAGCATGATGTTTTATAACCTATAGCACTCAGGAACATTGTAGCTATGAAAGAATTTTGGTAATTCGACCAGCGGTTCCAAAGATTATCCCTACATACAAACTTACAAATTTTACCTCTTTATAATATGAGTATAGATATTGGAGTAGATTAATGTAGGTACTTACTGCCCGATATCTGTACCTACGTGAATTTATACCTTCAACTAAATGTAGGTACTTAAGGTTCTTCCAATACCAATCAAAACAAAAAGGCTGGCAATCTAGGAAACTTTTCAGCGTCACCAAAGCAACAAAATTCTAGGAGCAATATACTTTTATGTGTATTTGGTAGATTTCCGTGGTTACACAGCGCGTCGCAAATGGGCGAAAGGTCGTGCGCCGCCTCCTCCTCCGCAGGGCGCTCCGCCCTCACCACCGCTCCTCATGCAGCATTACTCCGCACAGGAGAGAGCTTCACAGCTACAGACATTCGCAGACCAGGTGAGCTATTTAATAAAGAATGGTAACATCAAGCGGTTTATGACGATGACGGTCAAGAAACAACGTGGTATGAAAAAAAGCGTGGTAATTGTCAATATCTCATATAATAACACGGTGTAAAGGAAGTCACGGGCTTTTCATACTATATATGTGAGATAATGCAGGCAGATAATCAATCGAATATTTGTAGTTAATTGTGTCATTAAGAAAAAGTCCAAAATTCATGTGTTTTCAATCAAGTCAAATCAATATCTTAATCTTCAAAAATAATTTTTATTCTCGCACAAAATTCAAAATCTAAGATTGATTGCGTTTAAGTGATAATGCTTAATATAACAGTTTCAACTGAATTTTACATTCTGTTATAGGCAGTATTATAAGGATCATAGCATTTATGACGTAATTACCTATACATATGAACAATACTAGTTTTCTGGCTGCGGCTGCGGCTTAATCCGCGTGGAATTTGGATCTTATTGTTTCGAGTAGGTACCTGTACTTGTCTATTGTACTAAGACAACATTGGAATGGTTTCCTCGCTAAAAAGTAATGTTTGCAACGTTAAAACAATTTTTAAACAGTATGTATGAGTTATTGAGTGAGTCTCACACAACAACATGTACTGAATACAAAATCATTTCTTTATAATTATAGCAATCAATTTGTATTCAGTACATGTTCAACACTCAAATACATCAGTACTCATCAATCATTAGTTTAGTTGATAATATAGTCGACGAGTTAGTTAAGTGTATCAATAAATATCATCTCACCGGACTATCAAGCGACTTATTTCCACCTAGACTCCAAGTTGTGTGAGACTCACTCAATAACTCATACATCTTTATGGTCCTTCGAGCCGGATTCAACCAACGACATCCTCAGGGACAGAGTGCTTCTATCTACGATAGCGAATCGGTTTGACTGGTCTTCCACAAGCGGATCGCCCCAGTCAGATTGAGAAGGCGCACATATCGTAGTAGAAAATATATCTGATCCTGAGGTCATCATACACCGGCAACAAACACAAAAGTTCATTGAAACACAGCAGCAACATTGTTAAAAGCATATCCGGCTCGAAGGACCATAAAGATGTATGAGTTATTGAGTGAGTCTCACACAACTTGGAGTCTAGGTGGAAATAAGTCGCTTGATAGTCCGGTGAGATGATATTTATTGATACACTTAACTAACTCGTCGACTATATTATCAACTAAACTAATGATTGATGAGTACTGATGTATTTGAGTGTTGAACATGTACTGAATACAAATTGATTGCTATAATTATAAAGAAATGAATAAACTAAGAACTGCTGACATGAATCGCGCGTGCGTATGATGTACAGTCGCTGACTCGTACACAGTAAGAGTCGTGTAGGAGCCTATTCTTCGCCATCAAACCAAAAAAACATTCCAGTTCATAAATAAAGCGTAAATAGAAGCAATAAACGATACCTATACCTAATTCCTTCCAAATTATTACCAGGTGCACGATAAGAATCAAGAAGTACATAAGAACTTAAGGCGCAACAAGCCTGGTATCAGACTCGTCGAAGTTCAGCGAGCTGATGAGTACAGGCAGCCTCCAGGGTTCACGCTGGTACCAGCCATCGTGCGAGGACAACCCACCCAGCTGGAGAGAGACGCCAGTAGACTGTCCAGGTAAAATAGATTAAAAGAAAGAGAGAATTAGCCAAATGTTACTCTTTTGACTTTTTTTAAAAATATGGAATTAAATTGAATAATCCAGGTTATATGTCTGTAAGTTCGTTGTGAAATTACCTGGATTAGAAAATTCCAAATAAGGATTTAAGTTTAATTTAGCAACTATCAATATTATAACACGAGTAAAATTAGATAATTTGTAAACCACATTTACCTACACGAATTAATATACGATTTTAGTCTAAAATTAGTTTCGGTCTCACTTAAAGTAATACCTACAACAAGAATGCCTTTAATTGTAAATATCGTACATTCATATTCCAACAACGAAATTACTCTAAATAAAATAAATTACTTACATCATGGTACCAATTTATGATGCTGCACATCGTAAAGACGAGCCAGTCATTTAAACATCAATTAAAACGTTCAATCCGAATAAAACATATTGATAAATATTTATGTTCCGTAATTAATGGGGAAATTAATGAAAAACAAACATTAAACGTATATTTATACGACTTCAGATATTTAAGGTCTGTGTGTGTCTGTGTGTGTGTGTGCTGAGTAAATAGAATATAACTGAACAGGATTTTGATTAGGTGACTGGAATTAATTTATTATAATTTAAAAGCATACGAAGAAGATTTTATGTCTAGCACGTACACGAAGTTTAAAGCTGTGGTTTGATGAATGTTGGAAAAGCAGAAGATTAAGAATTAAATTGAAAGTATTGACCATACAGAGCAAAGAAGACTTCTGAGTCTATCTATATTTCTATACTAATACTAGCGGCCCACCCCCGCTTCGCACGGGTCCAGCTATCTCGATATCAAAGGGTCACTTTTTCCTAAACTTCCCCTCTACTTTTCTAATATTTTCTTTGATAAGAACCTTCTCCTGACAATAACAAACACAACAAAAAAAGAATTAGCAAAATTGGTCCAGGCGTTGTTGAGTTATGCGCTTACCAACACATTTTGGGATCCATTTTTATATATAAGAAGAAGATTATAAAGAGGTAAAATTTGTAAAGTATATTTATATAGTAAGTACAATGTTCCTGAGTGCTATATGCTATAAAACATCACGCTACGATTAAAAGGAGCCGAGCAGCGTGTGAAACCGCGCGAGAATAGCTAGTATTTTATATAGTACAAAGTAGCTTTGGATGTGGGTTTAAATACATGGGTACTTAAAGTACTTATACAAGAAGTAAAAAATAGATAAAAATAAAGGTGTCAATAACCTGTCTTAATTATATTTAATTAAAAACATCGTTAAATGCACTATGATTCGACTTAAAATGAAATAATTTATATACAATTGTTCACGCTTACTCTAATGGAACGGATGCAGTCCGTCGCCCGAGTTCCTCGAGAGTCCCGCTAGGCCTTGGGACGAACCGTTGATATATAAGAAAGAAATTGAGATCAAAAACCCGAGGTTTGTTAATCGACATTCTTTTGTTATTAGTATCATTAGCTCTGACCATTTCATGTAAGTTATCATCAAAAGAACTTTCACATACAATCTTATAATTTAATTCAATATAATTTTAATACCATTTGGTGTTTTGTTGCCTTTTAAAAAAGTGTAAAATTGTTATAACCATTCTTAAAGATTCTGAACAGTCACGGCGTATATTTTTTAAAAGCAGTTCACGTACTACTTTTGGAATAGAACAATATAGATAAAACAATAGTCGATCATAGCATTAGTCGATGTTCTTTTTTCAAAAGTTTTAGAGAATACATATACCTACACAAACAAAATTTTGTTTGAGTATTGGAATTTGAGTATTATATATACTACTATATACTATTCGTATTCTCTAAAATCACAATAAACATATAATCGACTAGTTTTATACTTGTAATAAGAACCTCAATAATACTTTCTTTAATTTAGTTCACATTGTATTACATCCATGTTCGTCCGATATTCTATTCTCATCTTGTTTTATTATCATCATAAAAATTGTAATCAAATTGTAGTATCTACTATATATTCAGTTCGAGAAAATGTCTTACCAAGATACTGTTATAGCTTTTCTATTAACTATAAAAATTACATTGTTTGAATACATCCGTGTTTGTAAGTTCCGCCATGAAATATATTTTTAAGTCAAAAATAAAAGAATCAATTTACAAAAATAATAATGCCATTGCTATTAAAAAATCAATTAATAATTAGTATTGCGATTAAAAATATGGTCGAGCATAAAACTTTTAAACGCAATGCTAATGAGAATACCCATTATTCAAAATGGTATTTTAAAGAGTAAGTGGTTGTTAGTGGTTAGAAATCACAAGATTAGCGAAACCAATTATTATCATTTACTAATTACGTATGCCTTTCTTAGATACCAACCCACAAGCAACGGTCACGGGTACCAGGACGACAGACATGTGCAGAACAACTGGCAGAGTCAGAACTTGCCGTGCAGCCGGCAGTGTGGCGGACTAGTCAGGTACGATCGTTACGACAGGGATCGCAAGGATCGAGGTATCAAGGATTACATGGAAAAAGACGATGCCAGATTCTGGCCCTGAACTAATCGCTTTCATTCTGTCGCATGCGTCACTCATTGTGGACAGCAGAAACAATGGGTATGGTTCTTGATAGTTGTGTGACAGCTAGAAGGTTGTTTAGCCACATATTTGTACTTAGCTAATTCATGTAACTATGTAGGTAACTTATCATATATTTGCATATTATTATGTATCAATGTTTATCATGTTACATTTTCAATAAAACTTCTATATTTTTTGTTTTTATAATAAGTACTTATATAGTAGTCGTAGTAAAACTCTCATCTAGTAAGTATTAATTTGATCTTCTTACTAATATTATATTTCTCATTCCAACAGCAATAAAATCAACGAGCTAGTTCGAAAATCACAGAAATCGGAACCACCACCACGTCCCGCGTACAACCCCACCTACGATCCGGAGTCAGACTTTAGAAAGATATTGCGGAACTCACCAGAAATACTCGCCACGCCTATATTTAGCTCCGACGACGACTATACGGAGGGTCCATTTAGATTCAAACAATTGTTGCGACCCACTTTGGGTCCCACAGAGAGCCTTCGGAAAAGAAAAGTCCGTAACTCCTCCGGTCAAAGTCCCTGGATGTCGGATAGTTCACAGGACAGTACCAGTTCGAAGCAAGCTCTATGCAAACGCCGTCCACAGATTAGTATGGGGGTCTTCTACAATTAATAGGGTGAAGGCAACTTATACAGTTAGAAGCAGGCGAGTTCCACCTCTACCTCCTAGAGATAATGTGCTCCTAACTTCCCAGAAGTTTGACTGTTATAGTCAACGGAGTTTCCCATGGCTTGTTGTATATGTTGTATATGATAGTCACGTAACAGGAATAGTTTCTCTAGCTGTAAGCAATCAAACAATGCAAAGTCTATAAAACTCTTCAAGTCTTCTCAATAACTACTATGTTCTTAAAAATTGTATTGTGTTTAAGAATCAAATATGGCGGCGGTTACATTGTTTCCGTCTATTTTGAACAATGCTGATTGTGCTTGCCTCACAGCCATAATTTAGTAATATTTAGGAGCACTTAAAATTTATATAGTCTATAAACTTAAATTATTGGAATTATGTTCGTACAGCCGTCGTCCTAATGAGAAACGTTGTTTGAACTGTTTCAAAGAAAAGTAAATTCTATGTTTTAGTTTACGTTTCTGTCCAAAATACTCAATAGTTTTTATTTTTGTGCCGTTTATTCGAAATACTTCATCAACCTAGTAGCTACAGAATTGCAAAAACTGGTTGAAATTATAGAATAAAAGTTTGACTTGTATCTTTTGTTTCGTGTGGTAATTATTTCTTGATTATTGTCTTTATAATATTGCATTAATGTAAATCAGTTTGGTAACATAAAGAGTCAATTCATTAGGTGAAAGAGGAAATAAATCAACGTCAGTCTTAATTTGTCAGTATAAAGTTTTAATTACTTTGAAGTCCCACTAATCAGGCGAAAGTCGATTGCATTTAGTTCACTGAGTCACAAGTAATCCGCAAGATACAGAAATTTATAAATTGTGACAGAAAATTATACACTTGAAAGTTTACATGGATTTCTCTTAGTCTTGTCTCTGTTTAAGCAATTACCAAAGCCCTACATGTATAATTTTAGTTGTTAAGCTATAATGATCTTACTATGACTTCAATGCGTGAACTTTGTATGAATTATATAAGCTAATTTTATTGTAATCATCAGATTTGTCTTGTTATATTTATCAGTATTATTATATTATCTACTCGTGTTTGATACATCATGTATATGGAAAGTAAGATCTCACCGGTAAAGTGATTTTAATTAAAATTACTCATTATTGCCATCACAGTTACAGAGAGTAAACTATTGAATGTTATCATAATGTAATTGTATAGATAAATCATTGACAACCTTTGTGATAATGTGCCAATGATTATTAATAAGTTAATTAGTCGTCTATTTGGGTGGTCAACGATATGAAATAAAGTTTGTGCATCAGAGAAATTGGTTTTAATTATTTTTTTATCATCAATTTTCCATTCCTTTCCATTTCCACACCTTACCAGATAAAATAAAACTCGCTAAATACCTCACTAACTTTAGAAAGTTCCAACTTGCATATAAAAGCGAACAGTCATCAAATTGGCGCAGAAAATCCAAACAAGTGAAACATATAAAGTAGATTTTTACGTTCGCGAAAGTCTGTAAATGTGAAGCGGGCGCGTGTAGCGCGGGGAGGCGCGGGCGGCGCCACGTGACGGCGCGCGCTCGGCCAATGGCGGCGCCGGCACGCCGTGCGCACGCAGCCGCGCAGTCGCGCCCGCGCCAGCCATGGCGGCCACCGGCCTGCCCGACGTCGACCTCTCTCAGATAAAGACGCGCTCCATCGAGAGAACTCTGCTCCCCCTCATCAAGCAGGTATGCAACCAGTGCTGCGGCTCTCGGACCTCACTGCCGAAATCAGGCGGTAGTCTACTACGAATGGCGGACAAGTGACGTCTCGCCGTACGAGTTGCGTAGTCGGCTCCCCTCTGACGTATCCGTCGACGGGAACATCGACGATAATTCTCCGCTTTTACGTACGCGACTAAAACCGTACTTTTATTTTCGTAGTAGCTGTAATTTCTATTGCGTCGCCGGTTTGACGTCCGCGATTAGAATTTCCCGCCCACGACAGCAATCTGTTGCGCTACGGCCCGCGCAGCCGCGTCGAAGCATTACTGCGGCGGTTGTTTTGAAACAAATAACTTTGTTTTTATAAATGAAAATATACATATCTTCTCTACTGTATTTTTTAAATACTTTCTTATCTACGTTTCTGCGAGTTTATCCATGTCAAGTGAAAGTAAAGGATAAGTAGGCAAGTTAAGTCACGGAGAAAGTTTGTGGGGGCATAGTAAGCACGAGGGGCGGGCGGCCACGTGGACTCGTAGCGGGTGGTGTGCTGTGGGGCGGGCGGGTAGGTGCGATCGATGCGCGCTGGGTCCGTCAGTGCCGCGGCGAACGCGGGCGGAGCGGCGCGGTGCCGCAGGACACAGCGCCACCGAGCACGTGCGCGCGCCCGCGGACTGCGCGCCGCCGAGCGCGCGCCCACCGCCCGCGCGCCACGCGCTCCAAGACATGGACGCGCTCTCCGATGACGATGAGTTTGCGCGCCGTGAGCCTCAGGTACGTGCTCATCGCTGAGCTGGACCCTCAATGCCGCACAGACTCCGGCACGACCAGCCCTCGCCAGGGCCCTGCAGATATATAAGGCGCAACAAGTAGTGTAGGCGCGGGGTGGTAAAGAAGCTTGCGTGCAAGAATGACCTTGATCGGAGCTCGCGACGCGCGGGCTCGCCCCGCGTCCCGGCCGATGACAATCAGATCACCTTCCAAAATATGATTAATTGAATAAGCATATCTTAAACTTTTGCACATTTATTAAGTTGAGACTTATAAATATGCAATAGTTGTATTTGTCTTATATTTTTATTGTTTTCTTTACTTTCAATGAACGTCAAGGTTCGTAGGTAAACATTGTTGTTAAATCTTTGATAGCAAGCACAACTCAACTGCCCTATTTATAGGATTATTTAAAATTAACGTCCGAAAAAGTTGTGCATCAAACTTTTAATTGAATTTAGGCTGGTTCAGTGTTTTTAATTGTGACCGTAATTAACTGTGACGCATGCGGTTTATTTATTAGACACCTATGTTTTCGTTATAATTAAGATAGTTTTCATTGTGATTGATGAAGAATAATAGTAGGCTTAGTGAACTTCTCTCTAAAAGGGCTCTATAATCTACAAATTTTCAATCCACTCGGGTCTGATCCGATTAACCTTAGAGCGGGTGGCATCGGCAGCTAGAACACATTGATTTAAATTAAGTTTTCAGTTGCTTACGTAACGCTCCACTGAGTGGAGTTGACATTGTGCTTGTTCGACTTATCTTGTCCTAGGAGCAATCAACATCAAACAAAGACGTAGCGTCTGAACTTACCTAACGTCTAAAATCGCGTGTCGGTCCAGGTGAGACCCGTACTCAGTCGTTATTATTATGTGCCTTACGTACCTTGCTACCGAAGAACCTTCCCTTCTCAACTCGAAGTATTGTGTAACGGTAATAAATATTAAAAGAAAAACCATCGATGCCAGGTATCGCAAAACATCCCTCCCTTAATTAAAAGCAAATTAATTCTATACATATTTACGACTCACAAATTGCTCTCTATAACAGATTTCAGATTTTCATAGAATCAATCTTAAAGCAAGAAATCTTTAGATTTAAACCGAATTAGGTTAGTTAATACGTCTTTGTTTATTTTTATTTTCTTTGTATAAAAGCGCGTTTAGTTTATATCTTAAAACAAACAATTGTTTAAAGAATTAACATTCAGCAAGTTTGGACTGATTGTTTCCAGTGTTAGATTTATTAATTTTATAAGAAAAAGTAAATGTGAATGCCATCAATGTGTTATCAAATAACTTGCACGTCACTGAATTCTGTAAAAAATTCCGTTCCCTCGATCTCGGCCGTATTTAACTGGATTTAGAAAATCCACGGGCAGGTATTCTGATTGCTTAGGCTTTGTTCCTCCTACACTCTTTCTCCAAATAATTTTTTTAATTTAGTAAATCATTTTTTTTGTGTCTCATATATTCATTTTGAGCCAGTGGACATCCCATGCATCATATCGCTGAGAAGGGTCATCAATAAACAGATTTAGAAAAAAATTAAAGTGTTGTATGATTTTCTAATTTTTATATGTGTAGTATGGGTGAAACCAATATGATTAGGCAATTTTCCAATTCCCAAAATTGGCATGACAATAAGAAAAAAATCTAATAATTATTACTTTTATCAATACCTTATAATGGTATAACAACTTTTCACGTTAATTCTCTATAACTGCTAGTCTTTGTCATAAAATTACAGATGGCAGAAAGTGGCCGGCTATTTACTCGATCACAAAGAAAACCGTACTTATGAAGGTCTTCATTCAATTATTAATGCAATGACCTACACGTGCCATTTCTCACATAAACAATGTTTACTGCTACTAAAATTGCATTAGTATTATCAAGTACCAGCAAATTTATTTAAAAAATGGATTCTAAATACTTTTCCTGCGTCCTTCTCTAAAACAATGGCAGTTAGCTGATGTCCCAAATTATTATCATTAACTGAAGTTTCACAGCTTTAAGGGATGGGATCAAAGGAACAGTGTAGCGTCCAATCTAAATTGTCATCTCGCCCTCTATAAGAGGGTTGTAATGGACAACTAAAGGATTAGCTAGGCTCCATGGGGCATGGTCAAAGACGCATTTAGTAAAGTAATGTCACTATTACAAAGTTCTATTTTATGACTGTATGCGCAACTCAGTCTATATGTCCGGAAGAGGATGGATAAGAGTTAAAAATAATGAATGCAACTATCATGCCAAATCATGTATACTTGGTATACGATAGTAAACATTACGTTTATGTATCTTATACATAAACTATGTATCATTTGCTTATATACTTACTAAATATTGGTAACTAACATGGTTCCACAATTCAAAACACAGATTACTATACTGGCCAAAGAATTTAAAAATTATAAAATCTAAATTAAGAATTTTATCTCAAACCATTACTTGGAATTTTGGATTCAGGATAAGGTAAAGTTGCCATTACAATAACCACTTTACTTATAGTGACATCTTAAGTTGTAAAAAAGGACTGCCGTAGTAGTGAGTGTTCACGTAACCGCACATTATTTGCAGACGGCCGCAAGTTATGTACGGAGCAAAATTGTTTAGCCTCCATTATATACACAGTGTACGTATAATGATATGTATACCTAGGTACCTACCGCATTGGGTGCGGGATGCGGTGACGCGTAGCAAACCAAAAAGTTGCGCGTTAACTTTTCCTTATTCAATATGTATCTCACTTTTTGAGTTTTACTCTCATTTACTTCATGGTTATACGTTACATTATGTACGATTTCACCTAAGCTTCTATATAAACTTCTGTATTATTGGTTTTACCCACAGAGCCTAATAAAAACCTCTAGTCCTCTCCACCAATTGTGCAATTAGGTGATTATTCGACAATAACCCCTCATCCCTCTTCAATCCCTACATCACCGAAACCCTAATCCACAAAAGGCAGGCTGGAAATGCACTCGAAACTCCTTTAGTGTTGCGGATGTCCATGGGTGGCGCCGATTGCTCAGGTAATCCGTCCACTCGTTTGCC